AGATTTCGAATACTGCCGGAGAGCGTTTATTTATCTCGAATAACATTTCTTGAATATTCAGTAGTGCTGGGTATGATGATGAACTACAACAGGCAGCAAGGACACTGATCAGGAAAGTGTATGTTTTGAGGAGCGTGGAACTACCTCTTAATTGCTTTTGTTCTCAGGTCCACCCTGTGGCAGGGGTGGTAGCATCTCTTAGACTCCCAAGTGAACCCCTAATTACTGAAAGTATAAAAATATATCTTTAAAGTAAAAAAAAAATTAAAATAGCAGGAACATATATTTAGTAAATTAACCAACAATATGCTTTATAAATGTATTTATCTTTTTTATCTCTAGTTGAAGGCATGAAATTGCGTTCAAAATATTTTGACTTCAGCATTAAATGACCCATAAAAGTGTTGATAGGCTATCAACTAAAATAAAGCAACAGTCGAATATTTAGACCGGTAGAGGAAAATAAAGAAATAACACGTTTAATAAATAAATAAACGAAGCGTCCACTGAAATCTCCCACTTTAATAAATAAGATTTATTGCTGTTTTAGAAAATGCATATATATATATATATATATATATATATATATATATATATATATATATATATATATATATATATTGGAATATATTGAAAATATGGTTTGGTTCCAAAATTCGCTTGAAGATGAAACAGAACAAATGCTTTTAATTTAATTATATAATTAAATTTGAAGTTTTTCGCTTCGGTTTTTGAAACATGGTAATTCGTGTGTAGCGATTAAATAATATTTTAAATCAGTTAATTTATAATGTTTATGGTCTGTAAATTTACATTGAGCATTGTTTTGTAAAATAAAAAAAAACAATAAGAACACCGGATTATATATCTTAATGTTCTTTCTATTTATTACAATATATATATATATATATATATATATATATATATATATATATATATATATATATATAATTTGGAAAAATGATAGCAGATACAAACTTCACAAATATATTTCGATTTGCATTATATTTTTTCGTCTCGGATGCTACAATATATATATATATATATATATATATATATATATATATATATATATATATATATATATATATATATATATATATATATGTGTGTGTGTGTTTTTGTGTGTATTAAACAAACAATGTGTGTGTGTGTGTGTATAACAACGAAAGTTTGAAGGAGAGCAAACAGGTTTTTCATTATCAACACACCTTAGTCATTTTTGAGGTATTAAACAAACAATTACTTTTCAAAAATGGAGCCAGAAGTATATATATATAATGTTATATATATATATATATCTTTTCTTGGTTTTGTATTCAAGCAGACAACGAAAGTTTGAAAGACATGATATGATCATTTAATTTTGCCAGAGGCCAAATGGGTTTATGGTCATTATCAAGATCAGAGAAATGGCATCATTACATTTTCACTGAGCCATTTAAATAAAAAAAAGCTGTTTTCAGTCCCCACCTTCATTGCAATTAATTAAAATTGATTAAATTATTAAACTGATATCTACTTTCAAATACACACACACACACACACACACCATTTAAAATAAAAAAAAACACATATATATAAAGCGTTTAGGTGTGGGCTGTATTATAAGTACAATATATATATATATATATATATATATATATATTATTATTATATTATTATTTCCTTTAATTTCTGGTGTATACTCATTTCTTTCCGGGTCCCAACAAGAGACCTTAGATCAGAAATGGCATCATTACATTTTCCACTGAGCCATTTAAAATAAAAAAAAATCACACATTTTTACATACATAAAGTTTCTAATCTGTATTATTAAGTACAATTTTGTATTTCTTATGAGAACATTTTTTCTATTTCTTTTTAATTATTATTATTATTATTATTATTATTATTATTTTATTTCATACTCATTTCTTTTTCCAACATTGTGACTGAGCCATTTAAAATAAAAAAAAAATCACACATATTTTACATACATAAAGCGTTTCTTAAGGTGTGGGCTGTATTATTAAGTACAATTTTTGTATTTCTTATGAGAACATTTTTTTTCTATTTCTTATGAGACAAATTAATTATTATTATTATTATTATTATTTTATTTCCTTTAATTTCTGGTGTATACTCATTTCTTTCCGGGTTCTTGGCATCATTACATTTTCCACTGAGCCATTTAAAAAAAAAATCACACATATTTTACATACATAAAGCGTTTCTTAAGGTGTGGGCTGTATTATTAAGTACAATTTTGTATTTCTTATGAGAACATTTTTTTCTATTTCCAAATTAATTATTATTATTATTATTATTATTATTATTTCCTTTAATTTCTGGTGTATACTCATTTCTTTCCGGGTCCCAACAAGAGACCTTAGATCAGAAATGGCATCATTACATTTTCCACTGAGCCATTTAAAATAAAAAAAAAATCACACATATTTTACATACATAAAGCGTTTCTTAAGGTGTGGGCTGTATTATTAAGTACAATTTTTGTATT